ATCATACAATATTATTCAACCAAATAGCTTTTTTTTTCTTTGTTTTAAGAAACTGTTAAAAGGATTACTTATTCATAAATGATTCATGTTAGAAAACTCGAATATAATAACAAATATATTTATAATACATTCTATATTCATGAATTATTTGCATGCAAGTCATCAGTTTTTTTTTTGTCACACTATCACGCTACTAGGTATTTAATGTACCATAACCAGTATAAAATTGACTATTTAATGTTAAAGAATATAATGGTAAACCTTGAATATGAATCGTTGCTTTTGAAGTAAATTATCGTTTTCTATATCTGACTAATGGTAAATTCATTTAGAATAATTGATAATTGATTATTTCTATAGTAAACAAAATAAATCAACAAGAACGTTAGTATCAAAATTTGATATTAGTTTTAGTACTACTATATCGTTTTAAGACAATTGTTGATAGAAAAAAAAAAAACTTTTGAATAAATTTATTATTTTATATATGTATTACGAAATTTGTACAAGATGAAAATGTTTGTAAATCCTCATCGATTCAAATAGAACTTTTTGTATAACCATTAACGTATTGAATTGTATTAATAATAATTTGATAGGATTCTTTATGGAAACCATCATAGTGCAGAGTATTGTTATAGTACTATGTAATCATTCGAGACCATGAATATACTATTGCAATATAAGCATTAATCATATTTGATGATGAAAATGTTACTTTTTATGACTGAACAATCATACATAAAATTGATTGTTGACAATGATAAACTAGATGAACAATAAGACCTTGTGTTAGACTAATGTCAAGTCCGAAACTAAGTTCTATGACAATAATATCAATCAATAAAGATATTAACATAAATGACAATTTGAATATTATTTGATTTTGTTTTGCGTACTTCGTATAACATTGTTAGATATAATTTGTATATATAATAAATATGGAAATTATAGAATAACATTAAATAGTCAGAAATTATATGTTTTAATTTATGTTTATAGATCGTCTATCAATCTATAAAACTCGTAAATAGTTATAATTGATTAATGGATCTTTAAAAGCAAAAATTTTGATAAAGATAATTTTTGAAACATATTGTATTCTATAATTATATTTCTAAATGATATTTTAATTGAAGAATCTGATAAAAATAATTTCCTAATGTTATTCTTTCGTGATGTATTTATCAAAGCAAATTTTCGTTTTTTTTTTTTTTTATATTGAAAAATGTAATTCTCATATAATAATTTTTTATCAATTTATTTTTTAATAAATATAAATTATTATCAATAATCATTTATTTATGAGTTATAAATATTGTTGAACTTATTTGACATTGTATACAATCAATGATAAGAAAAAAATAGATAATCATATATTGATATATTGTTAAATTTTAAATATAAATAATAATTTACAAGCAATTCTCAAGACAAGATTTAAAATTTCGACAATAAATAACATAGTTCTATGGTAACTTTCATATGTAGAACATATTTAAATGAAAATATATAGTTATTATTAAAAATTATCGAACTTGCATGAATTGATATAAAAAACAAGATACATAAGTATAAATTATTTTTAGTTTATAGTTATTCATTGCTTGTATAACTTCATTATGTATGATATATGAATTTTGTCCTTGGATATATTTTATGATGGCCTTCTATCAGTACTTCATATAGAATTGAATAAGATAAAATCGAATTTTGTTTTTATTGTTAAATAAAAAAACAGAATTATTGTATTTTAGAAAAAATTTAGTATGTTGTTTTTGTTTTTGAAAAAGATTCACCATGTTACACTTTGAAAAAACTTCAATTCAAAATTTTTTATTTGTTAGAAATATTATCTATGAAAAAAAATCCTTGAACTAAAGGATTGTTTTTTTATTTTGACTGAAAAAAATTTTCTTTTTCAAATTGTTAACAATATTTTGATCAATGTTTTCTTTAATTCTCATCTTTCATTAATACACATTATACAATTTAATCCTAGTTTGAATTTTTAACAAAATCAATAGTTTCAAGTAACTTACATCAAAAAAACAAAACAAATATATATTGTCTGAATTTAATCAAACAGAAAAAAAAACACATTAGACATAGTCAAAGAACTTCATAATTCATTTATCTTGCATTTTCTCATCAGTTCAATATTCATATCATTAATAAATTCACTTCAACTAATCTACTCAATAAACTTCTTTTTAGATAATGCAAATCAATAATTATATTACCTTAATAAAATAAAAGCATAGATAGACTTGAATAAAACTTCATCAATGATCGTTTATATGTATATATATATATACAAAAACATTCTTGTAACATTACATTTGACCTGTGATCACATAGCTCGACTTGATTGCTTTTCATGTATCATTATATACAAACGTTGTGACTGTCTCACCAATAATAATAAGACGAGAAATGTATGACAGACAGATTGAGATTGAGCCCTATTTAATTGTCATCTTCTATGCATACACACTAGTGTGAACGAACATCATCTTTTCGTTTGTCGACCGTGATTTGTATCACTTCATATCGCGTTCAAACTTTAGTTTACGATCGAATGAGACATAGAGAAAGAAGAGGCGGCTACACCTCAAACTTTGATCCTTCTTCTTCTTCTTTTTTTACTATATAGTAATATACGCGAGACACTCGAATAGCTGAAAAGAAGGAAGAGAAATAAAATGAATGAATAGATGAAAATGCCAAAAAACAGAACATAAAACAGTGAAAGAATAGGAAAGAGAATGGAGAAAAGAAATAAAGAGAAAAAAGTTTTCAGTCAATTCTAAAGCGTGTTTGACGGCAGTGGCAATAATGCTTTTTTGCTTTATTCCGCACTTTTTTCTCCTTGTCCTTCTCCGATGAACAAAAAGACGAGAGGAGAGAGTACAAATACACGTGTTTGCTTGACAGAGAATAGCGTAAAAAGAAAAATCTTCAGGTCATTGTTTGCATTCATCATCTAGACATTTACATATATGTACATTTGAATAGGTACGTTGAATATTGTTATTATTTTATTTTCCTTGATCCTCATAAAACAATAATTACTTTATAATACGCAAGAAGTTTATATTTAAAATATTTAATAAATGATAGGGAAAAGGCAACAGGTGCCAATAACAGTTATCGTTTTTTTTTCTTTCTGTTTTATAGATTGTGATTCTTTAACTGCATTTTTTTGTCTATTTTTATTTTCAAGGGAAATCAACAAATAGCTGATCATCATCTATTGAAGAACTTGTATGTGTGTAACCTTTAGCTACTTTTTTTTTCTTTTTATGACAATGACATACTTATAATGAATTTTCAAGGATACTCTATATTTATATTTTGTTTAGTAATGTATAAGTTCTCATTGATAAACATTCTTCAGATATATCTGCAAATTTTAATTATACAGAATGATGTTTAATTTTTTTTTCTTTTTCTGTCTTACTCGTTTTCGACGATCATATTTCATTTTATATATAGTTCCGCCCAACTCCACCTCTTCTCACATTTCATTAATATAGTCTCGATAGGTATAAGATATTTCATTTTTTATTTTTTTAATGTATGTTCTCAGTTCTACTTTTTTTTTATTATTAGCGCTATCTCGTTTGATAGCCTCTTGAATAACGTGACACACCATACACATAGCTCATGTATTGCCTAAAGGCGTAAAATGAATATATTGAAAAAAAAAGAAACAAAGAAAAAAATTTTTATGTGTGAACGTATGCGCGCGCGTCCACCCTTAAGAAAGATTACGAAGCTGCAATTTGCACTTATACATATTGTTACGTCATACATACACTCTTCAATCTTCTTCGTTTTTTCCTTTTATCGTCTATTGCGGGTGATTTTAGTTATGTTGTTATTTGTAGTTCAAGAACTTATATGCACATTTTGAATCAACGATCGAACGGTTACGCAAATGAAGATGAGAGTATGAAGGGATAGGCGTACGTATTTTAAAAAAAAAAAGCTTAACGCTTGATCGCAAATACCAATTGTATGGCTGTGCAGAGCGAGAACGATTGATTGTGCATGCAAAATATGAACAGTACAAAAGAAAGCAAAGGAGAGAAGAGAGAAAGAGAGCGCTCTGACATACTACTATTGATAATGACTGTTTCAATAGTATTAGTCTTTAATTATTAATATTTGTTGTAAACTTGTGAAATCAACATACGACTTCATGTGGTGACATGTTTTAAAATTGAAAAGAATAGTAACTTTTCTCTTGTCTTTTCACATACAAAAAGATCAAAGATAAAAATTCATTTGCATTTGTGAAGAATGAGATTATAGATACGAATTGAAAGCAAGTCATATATATATATATAAAGATTTCTCTTAATAATACTTATGTTGAGTAGATCAATTTGGAATTCTTTACATATTTTCTTGAATATTCCTTAATCGATACCAAGCATTTGGCTATTTATATATAGAATAATACAAAAAAAGACTTCGTCTTTATCTTATATGATAATTATCAACTATAAATTGTTTGTTTTTCGTTTTTCTTAAATATTTAGATATTTATCTTAATAAAGCAAAAAATCTATACTAATTCTAAACACGTATAAACGATCAAGGTTGAGAAATTTACAGTAAAAAGGTCAAAATTCGTATTAATTAATCATTAACTTTGTTTTAAATACAAATAAAAAAAAAAATATTTGTTTTTTCTTTTCTTTTCTTTCTTCTTTTTTGATTCAGCTAAGTTTATTATCAAACTTTTTTTAATCATTTGACAAGAATGTTTTATCTTCGCCTCCTTAAAATCGTGAATAATATTGATGGCAATCTTTTTTTTTCTTATGTTTCTTTTCTATTACAGGTGTGGGAGAAAAAACAGGACAACAAATTACAAATTTTTTCATAGTGCATACGATGACTCATATTAAATAACTATATATATATATAATCGAACATTTACAACATTAAAATAATTCACTGGTTTTATTTTTTTGTATTTCTTAATTATGTCGACTAGTCCTTCTCAAAGAAATAGTTCACCAGAAATAGCTACTACAATGACAAGTAATATTAATGAAGATGATGCACAACAGTTTCAACAAATTATACGTGACCGAAAATGTAAGTTATTTTTATCTTTTTTTCTTTTTACATAGATATATATATATGTACAGAAAGAGAGAGAGAGAGAGAGAGAGAGAGAAAAGACAACAATTTCTTATTTATTTGCTTACTCTTGTTATTGTCAATTATATGTGTAGTTTGATGATGGACGTAATAATTGTTCTCATAATAACCTTGGTTTGAAGAAGGACAGTTCTTTTGTCATATTATACCGTCATGTTCATTGCTTTTTTTTTTACATTCTTATTTTCTTTCTTATCATAGATTTATTCTTATAGTTTCTCACGTGAAATAATGTTGTACTAGTAGCATCTTATTTGATAACCAAAGGAAAAAGACGATGTTCTCTTTTGGCATACATACATAGTTCAGACAAGCGTAAAAGAGAGAACAGAGTGATGAAAAGATAGGCATAGATGTTATTGGAATATATGACGAGACAGACAGAAGCATAGAAATTACACTGAAATGGGTTAGATCTTTGTATCGCCGCTTGCGGTGAAATACAAATAACGAAAGAAAACAGAAAAAGAAAAAGAAGAAGAAAAAGAAAAAGAAAAGCAGTGTCTTCTTTGTGGTATTAGAGATAACAAACCGTCAGCCAAAAAGTAATACCACTATTCTATCTTCGTTATTATTATTATTATTATTACTATTATTATTATCATCGACGTCGTCGTCGACCTCTTTCTATGTTTGAAAGCGAAGGAGAGTGGGTGGGCAGTCAATATTTTATTGATTAAAATTCATCGAACACTTGACCTTCACGCTAATCTTTGTTAACAACTATACAAAAACTTGTCTATACGATTAACGATGTCATCATCAAACACGGATGAACCATTAGGTTCGGTTGATGAGGATCTTGCATGTAAGTTGATTAATTTAAATTTTTGGTTAGTCAAATATGATTTGAAATAATATGATGAGATCAGAAAATGAAATAAGCTTTTATTGTATATATATACATATGTATATACAATAAGAGATAGAAGGAAAGAAAGATGGTTGAAAGAACTTCTTTTATCTTTATTTTATCAATGCATCTATCTCTTCATAAGATCACTAATGTAGTTCAATCGACGCCTACTGTGAACTCGAAAAAAACATCTGTTTATATGTATATGTATGGTTTTGCCTATGGGTAGAATTATTATCATATAGCATCTACTTGAGAAAAAGTATGTGTGACCAAATCAACAAATATATATAATTGAAGAGGAAGACATGTTTTATTATGTTGCCAATGGCTTTTGTTTGAATGAGAACAATAGTTTATATATATATAACATTTCCTTTTTTCCTTATTTTGTTCTATTATTTAATAGAAATTTATAGAAAATTTTATCAAAATTGATATATTTTATGTACTATATTATTCCTTTTTTCATTATTATTATTATCATTTTTAAAGAGAAAAAAAAATACTAGACAGACAAATAACTATCTTATCTATTGTAGTTGATTCAAAAGTAAATTAACACTTACATACTTTTGTTTAGTGATAACTGTACAGTTGGTTGATTTGCATGTGTTCATGAATGATATGTTTTTCTTTAATAGACAAAAAAACAAAGAAATAGAAATGATATTGTTTGTTTTTCCGAATATAATTGGCTTGTATACTAAAGAAAAAAAGAAATCACATTTATTAATAGTTTTCTTTTTAAAATACTATTATATATTTATTGATCTTTGATAAATGAGTTGTACATTTTTCTTTGTCATTATCATTGACTGATCAGTCGAAGTTAGCAATCTTGATGTATTGTCAGGCAACGTGCTCATTCATGTATATGTTTCTAATGCAGACAATCTTTACGTAAAAAACAAAAAATTTCGGTCATTCACTCGAGACATTATATGCATGCATTAAATTATAGCGTATCTTTACCTATATATTTGAGTAAAAAAAAAAAAAGAAGGAATGTTGAACTTTGTCACATTAAACAATATAAATCATTGGTTGTCTACTAACAGTACATCTTTTCGTTCATTTTTTATTTTATTTTATCATATTGAAAACTTTTTCATCGAAACAAAATCATTCTCCTACTTTTTTTTAAAAACTATGTATCGTTTTTTTTCTTATTATTAATGGTTACCACTCGACGTTATTTTGTAGACGAACGCGAAGATATTCAAAAGAAAGCATTCACTAAATGGGTTAATAATCAATTAGCTAATGTAAGTTAACTATTCATACTTATATAATATATCATATGTTTAATATATAATTCAAGGCAAGTTCAACACTAGCTGTTACAGATTTATTTCAAGATTTACGTGATGGTGTCGTCCTACTTCGATTATTGGAAATACTTACTGGGAATGAATATGTATGTAATAAAGAAAAAAAAAAATTTTTTTCTTTTAATTTTTGTTTTTGTATAGAAAAGAGAAAATGGTAAAATGCGTGTACATCATATTGAAAATGTTAATAAAGTCATTGCTGTACTTAATGAACATGGAGTGAGAAAGAAAATAATATTTTGTTAAATAGTATAGAATTATTGTTGTTATTGTTTTTTTTTTTTTTGTTCAATCATAGATTAAACTTCTTAATATATCATCTAATGATATTGTTGATGGTAATCCAAAATTAACACTTGCATTAATATGGTCAATTATTCAATATTGGCAAGGAAAAGATGTTATTGAATCTGTTGTACCTGATTCACGACAGACAAATATTGAAAAATTTCTTCTTTCATGGTGTCAACAACAAACAAAAGGGTTAGGAAGAAAAAAAACAAAACAAAGAAATCTTTTATAATAAATTTTGAATTTAGATATAAAGGTGTAACAATTAATGATTTTACACGTAGTTGGCAAGATGGTCTTGCTTTTAATGCATTAATTCATAAGTTTCGTCCAGATTTATTTGATTATGACGATCTTTTACAAAATACACAAGCTAAAAATCTTGAAAATGCATTTAGTGTAGCAAAAAATAGTTTCAAAATTGATCGATATCTTGATGTTGAAGGTTTGAATAACACTACAAATATATATATATACATTCTCATATCTATTTCATTTGTTTTTGTTTTTTTAGATCTTCTCTCAGATTATCCTGATAGAAAATCTATTTTAATGTATGTAATGTGTCTCTTTCAACAATTACCATCAAGTAATATTGTGATCGAAGATAATGAGAAAATTGAACCATCGACGACGACGATTACAAGTGATAATACAACGGAGATAAAGGTTTGAGAAATTTAATTATGTTTTTTTTTTTTTTTTTTAATACAAATTCTTTGTTCTTTTTAGTCTCTATCAGAAAATGATTTAATACAATTGAACAATTTTAAAACAAATATTGAAAGAATACTTCAATGGATTCTTAAACTTGAAGATGAACTTGATAAACAAGATAAAACTATGTCAAATGATTTAAAAACTATTAAAGAACAATTTCAAAATCATGAAGTAAAGAAACAAAAATCTTAATTCTATAAATAATTTATTTGTATGTTTTATTTTTCGTACTTTATTAAAGGAGTTTATGGTTAGTTTAACAAAAGATCAAAATCAAATTGGTGATATACTTCATGAAGGAAATCAATTATTACGAACACATAAAATTAATTTACAACCACGAGAAGAAAATGAAATAAAAGAACAAATGAAAGTTCTTAATCACCGATGGGAATTATTACGTTCAAAATCACTTGATAGACAATCAATGTAAGATATTGAATTTTCATTCGAAAAACATAGGAAATAAAAAAACATTGAAAAGTGTTTTTTTTTACTTATCATACTTTAGGTTTTTTAAATAAAAATGGCTTAAATTTTTTTATTAAAATTATACTAATGAGAGAATCCTCGTTAGAAGCTCCACTTCCGATTTCAATGATTTTTTTGTCTATAGATGCTGCATAATAAGACTTGGATTCCTATTGAGATTTGACTAAATTATCGAAATTTTTTCTAAAATTCTCATATTTTCAAATTTTGATCTAAATTTTTGCACATATACAGACCTCAACTAGACTAGCTTACATAAAAAAAAACTCAGAAGTTTTGAACAAATATAGACCTTTCAACATAGAAAACCTTTTATATAGGTAGAATATACAGAATGCATTTTTTTTTTGAAAGCTTCATATGTCGAAGAGACTATTTTTGTATATTTTTATGGAAAATAGACTAATTGAGTTCTCTATATCTGCAATATTTTAGATTAAAATTCAGTAGCTTAATCAAAAACTCAAATCAGTTGAAGATTTTTATTAGCGTACTATATATTATTTATAGACAAAAAAAAAAAACATTAAAATTGCAAGGGTACATTTAAGTAAGTGTCCTCATAGACGCATAAACATATCCTTCAATAGAAAACGTAAACAATAGATTTCTTATCATTTCCACTAGTTCTTCTGTCATAATGTGTCATGCTAATGAGGGATTATGGCCAACTGTTGTATACTGTTTGTCTGCTAGGAATAGGTCCTTGTCAAATTCAGAAAAGCTCGAAAATTCTTCAGACTAATGATGTCTGGATAAATAATTATGGATGTTTGAATGAAATTTTTACTAAGAATGTAAAGAATTTTTTACTTGGAATTTTATCTATAACCATGGAACATAGTGATCAAGTCTATTTGGAAACTGAATATCTCGAGAAAAACATACTTTGCCTTGGGCTTTCCACAAAAAATTTCATTACAACAACTATAACTCTTTATCAGTAGACCATGAGTTTGAATCGTTTTCTTAGCCTCACATAAACCTATGAAGTCGAATAGTATTCAACAATTCCATGTATATTCCCTTGTAAGATTTAACTAGATCAATTCTAATATAAATCTTTTAGTGTCAAAAAATTTGCTTAACAATTTTGTTTCTTAATTTTTATAGTCTTCATAAAACTTTAATGAAACTTCAACTTGATCAAATTGAAACATTCGATAATTGGTTATATCAAACTGAACAACGTATATCAAGAGATTTAGATGTAATGGGAACAAATTTATCAGGTATTGAACGACAATATCAACAATTAGCTCAATTACAAGATGAACTTGTTGCACAACAAATTACAACTGAATCATTACAAAATATGATTATTGTTGTTGATGATACGTCATCAAATGATGAAGATCAAATATCACCAACATATACATCAACAGAAATCGAAGGAAAATTATTAAATTTAAGTGAACGTTGGGCACATATATGTAATTTTGTACATAATCGTTGGATACAATTACAAGAAGTTAAAATTGAATTTGAACAAATTGAATTAAATCTTAATAAAGTTGATAAATGGTTAATAGATAAAGAAAATGAAATGAATAAAATGAAATCAGAAACAAATATTAGTAATACTGATATACTTATGCAACAAGTTCATTCAATTCAGGTAATCAATTGAAAAATAAATTTCAATTGTTCATTATACATATAATATATATATATATATATATTGTTTTCTTAAGTTAAATATTTTTCATTTAAATAGTTCTCTCTTTTTTTTTTTTTTTTGTTTTAAATTAACAAATATTCTATGATAACCTTCAAAAAAAAAAGATTCAAATAATCGAAAGAAATCTATTTGATTTTTATTATAAATGAAACCCGAAAAAACTATGATGTTGAATATATAAAATTCAAATAAATTTCTTTTTTTTTTTGAATTTTGGATTTAAATTTCACATATCCTTGAACAAATCGATATTAATATTTTAGTAAATATAATCAATGATACTTGAATCCATCAAATAAATGTAAATTTTATTGAAGTACTTTCTCTTAAATATAATTATAACTCTAGTAGCATAGAAAAAAACCATTCCTAGGATTAGAAATTATTTTCTTCTGGAAGATATTACAAATTAAATAGAATATTTAGAAATGTACGCTAAAAAGAAAAAAAACAATAACTGATTAAGACGAACATTTTTTTGTTTTTTGAAAAAAATCCATAGAAAGTAGTATCAACTCATATTTTAATTCTTTTATTTTCCTGCTGAGAATATTAAAAAAAGATGAAGTCTTCTCAAGGAAAGAATGATCATGTCATATCTAATTTCGTTGCAATGTAAATAACAGATAATCATTACAGTCGAAACAATTACACTTTAGATGTAGACAATGATTGAGAATGTTCTATTTCTTAATTTAATTATTTTACGAATATTGTATTGTAAAAATAGTTTTATTGATTGATTGATATTTAAATAAATTTCTATTGATTCTATTTTTGAAATATATTTTATTTATCTATAGAAAACCGAATCAGAAATGAATGATATACGTCAATCAATTCTATCATTAGATAATAGTTTAAAAATTCTTAGTACATTTTATGATAGTACAACATCAAATGAATTAAAAATTTTAAATGAACAAATAAATAATTTTGAAAAACGTTGGGCACAACTTATTGATGACCTTGAACAATGTTCAACAAAAGTGAATACATATATATATCTTTTTTTTTTTCGTATAATAAAAATTTCTTTTTCTTCTTTTTTTCAATCTTAGTTAAAAAAATTGAGTGTAAATTTTGAAAAAAATGCTCAAACAAATATAAAACCAACTACTGATGTAGCACAAAAACCAACAACAACAACAACAACAACAACAGTCGTTGAAGAAACAATAATAACAACTGATCAAACTCCAGATGATTCAATAAATAAAAAGCAAAAAATAAATTATGAAAATACATTAAAATCAGATTTTGATTTATCAGCTAGAAAATATATTGATTGGATTGATAATATTGAAAGAATATTAGATGAAAAATCAGTGAATCAATTACAATTGCATGAACGAGAACATATTATTCAAGTAAATACAAAAAAGTTTCATTTTTTTTTTTTTTGTTTTTTCAAATTCTTTTTCTTAGGAAGTTAAAACAAAATATCTATCATATGATGATCAATTTAAAGTTCTTATTCAAACAGGAAATGTCATAACCAAACAATTGAAAGATGGTAAATATTTGATTTATTTATGCATATATATATATTCATTTTTTTTTTTGTATATTAAATGTTAGGTTTTTTTCTTTTTTTCTTTCTTTTAGCAAATGAAGATTCGAATGAACATGAATCAACATTAAAAATATTAGAAAATCGATGGCAAGAACTTCATAAACAAATTCTTAAATATGAACAAGATATTGAACAATCAAAATTTAATGATGAAATTCAAGAATTAATTAAAATACGTAATGAATATCAAACATGGCTTGATTCAACACCATTATCTTATTCAAATACTGAATATCAGGTATGACTAATTAGAATAAAAATTATATTAATTAAATGATGTATGATATTACATCATACTTACAGATCAAATGTATATGTACATATACACATAATGTACCAATAAGTTATTCGATAATTGGCAGGTGTTGCCCTTTTTTTTTCTCTTTCCCTGTTGGTATAGATTTAATGGTGTGAAGATAGTTTCTCTAATGGTTATTTTTTGTGGACGGCATACATAGCGTAATATGTATATCTCAATAACTAATATAAGACGGATGATTGAGCGATGATATCGTCGCCTAATCGACAACAAGAGTTTGATAATATCATATAAATACAAGGCAACTTGATAAGAAGAAAAACTACATAAAACATACAACAATCTATCAAATCGAAAGCAATAATGAATGATTTTATCGATTTTTCCTTCGATTCATTTATTCATTAAATTATTATTATTATTCTTATTATTATTAATAAAAAAAAAGAAAAAGATCAACAAATCATCAATCGAAAATGTTTAAACAACAACATTGTGGTTTTTTTTTTTTTTCTTGTTATTTTTTTTTTATATTCTCGTCTTTTCTCTTTCCTGTCATTTACATTTTTTCTCGTCAGTCAGTCAGTCAGCCAGTCACTACTACAAAAACGCTTTTTTTTTTTCTACTCATCGCTCTAATCGTACATTTTCTCCGCTTTTTCATGGGACATGCACATACATATAGACGTTACTTATAACTAGTTATTTGCATTTTCATTCACCTCACGATATTTGTATACATACATATACTGGATTGACGAAACGTGTAAGAAACCTTGATTATATCTATCTCAAGTTCGTTACTATTTTCACTTTTGTTTTTGAATTTGAGTGAAAGACAAAAAAAAAAAAAGAGTCGAATTTTTATTCTTGTTATTTGTAAAAAGAAGAAAAGAAATTAATTCATTTTTATTATTTATTGTTTTTTTTCTATTCTTTTTCATAGGCAAAATTAACAAATTTTCAAACATATAACGAACGACTTGCTCATTTAAAACGTATGGCTGATCATTTTGATACAAATACTATACAACGTACAAATGATTTGTTACGTTCATGGGATGAAACACATTCTCGAATACGTAAGTAGTGATCATGATTGTATTGATGTATTTGTTCTTTTTCCTCTTTAAATGTATTGCGTATGATTTCATTATTATTCACTATCGACCTCTGTCTCATTATCGAGCTTTTATTTAGCTTTGCTTCAATCACAAATCTGCCGTTGATTAAAGGGCGGCATAACGAGTGTACGTACGTTAGCATGCATTTAGGTCACCATCAATGCATCTGACCGAAATAAAGGAAGGAAGGGAAAAGAAAGGACAAAACGAGGCTATCTTTACTGACTCGTGTTCTTTAGTTCACAAATTATTACATAGCCTTTCTACTTTTTTTTTCTCTTTTTTCTTCTATACCGCTATTGTATATATAGGCACAAGTATTCATGATATTTTTTTATATTGAACATATATAAGACTAATCAGCATATATGAAAAGTACATATTCATTTGTATACATATATATGTATATATATATATACATATATTGTCATTGCCATGATCGGAATTGTCAACTTTGTACATGATCGTTTAGCGTAGAGAGCGACAACCACATAGAAAAAAAAAAGAAACCGCAAGGACAATAAGACAAACGAATGCGAGAGTAAGATTGTCGTTAGTAAATTTGGATTTGTTCTCACACTGTCTATATGTGTGTCTGTGTGTGTGTGCGTCTATTTGTGTGCAAACGATGCTGCTCGAATTTTACTTCGTCCTAGTAAGCGAACAAGTAAAAGAAAGAAAAAAAAAAACGAGAGAAAGAAAGTTCTTTCTTTCTATCCATGTCATCTGTTGCACGATGTCATTCTTCAATACGAACATCTATGCATGCTCTTTTGTATGTCGCCTCGACGGCGACGACTTGTAGCTGTGTCACTTCGTTGGCTAGTAAGAAAAAAAAAATGGAAGATGAAGTAGGACGAATAGAGAACGAGCCGGTCTCTCTGTCTTGTTTATGAGTTACTGTAGTGTAACAGTTGATGTCAATTCTATATTTGATTGCGTGTCTATGTTATTTTGTTGTTTTCCACAGACTTCTGGTTACTATTTTTTTTCCCCCATGCGTGTACGTCACGTATTAATATCATATATTTTCTTTTGCTTATTATTCGAACGTTTGCAATACGATAGTTCTATCTATCAGATATAACATAGTCTTCTGTTTAGTTTCTTATCTTCTACTAAGTTATGTTTTTATCTGATATAGGTGAACGAATTATTCCTGTCGAACATATGCAACAACAATCATCAGGAACTACAACTGGTTCGAACGTAACATCGTTTCGTCAAACAGGTATTTCATCAGTTCCAATAAGTCCAAATCAAACAGAAATACATGATCAATTATCAACAGCAACAACAACAGCAGCAACAACAACAACAAATCTAGGTCCATCAATTGGTGAAAATGGTAGTGTTTTTACTTTAACAAATATTTATACATTTGGTGGTAATGATGGATCGTATAACACTGGTTTATCGGATTTAGCATCAGATAAATATCGTGTAAAATCATATGTTGAAGTATTTGATCAGCCATCATCACAACAAGATAGTGAATATGAACGACGTTATCGTGAAAGTCATTCATCATCTGTTACACGAAAAATACGTACAAGTGCTACTGACACATATGATTATGGTCAAAATGGAAATTATGAATCAGCACATTATCAACATAACTATGAAACAACAAGTCCATCATCACTAAGACATATTCATGGTAGGTTATATTTAGATATTATTTTTTGTCCTGAATACATTCTTTCCTTTCATCTAAACAATGTTTTTTTTCGGGTTAATGGTTTATTTATTTGCTATTCACGTATTTCTCTAAGGGAGACACTTATTTCCATATTGTTGATTTTTTTCCCTCTTCTTTTGTATGAATAAGATAAATAAGAACAAGAAAAATTTCTATTTGTTTTTGTGTTTTTTGTTATTTAGAACAACCATTACCAGGTACAAATTATTTATCATTATTACCAACAATATTTAATGATACTCAACGTAAATTACGTGTATGGCTTGAATATGTTGAACAATCCTTATTACATGATAAAGTTCGTGTTAATGATATTCATACAATTACTACGAAAAAAAAAGTTTATAAAGATTTACTTGATCAAACATTTGAACAAGAACATAATTTAGAATCATTAAATAAAATATCTAATGAATATTATTCAAAATTAACTGTTGATGTTAGTCGACGTTTACAAGATGAATTAAATAATTATCGTGATCGTTTAAATGATATTAAAATGTTTTTAAGTGAACGTTTAACAAAATGTAGTACTCTTGATAAAACATTAAATGATTTTGAAGTAAAAAAAAAACAAACGGAATTTTGTATTTAATTAAAATGATTATTTTATTTTGTAGAGTGGAGTTGAAGAAGTTAAAATTTGGATACGTAATGCTCAAACACGTTTAACAAGTGATACAAGTACATATGGATTAGAAAACCAATATGGTCGAAGTCAAGTAAAAGAAAATTTTATAAATCGAAAAAACAAAAGAAAATTATTTTTCATATGTTTAGACTCTTCAACATGAAATACGTGAAATGCAAATAGTTATTAATCGCTTAAATAAAGATGTTATTGATTTAACACAAGATGTTGATGAAATATTAGGAAGACGTTTAAGAGATGATATACGACAATTAAATGAAAGTTGGAGTCATTTTATTAGTTCAACGAAAACCTATTCACAAAATATTCAGGTTAATTATTATTAAATTTAAATTTTCGAAAATCAAAACGAAAAAAAAAAGGAAATATTGTATATCGATCTAATTTTTTTTTTGTCAGTATGAGTAGAAACAAAAGAAAAAATATTTTTTTTTACAAAGTTTATATTGATAAGTCTTCGTCTTAATGTTAAACTTATATGACTGACATTTTCGATTGTCATAAGCGAATTAGAAATGAAATTTGTAGGATTTTATTAAGCCTATGAGACCTAGAAAGTAAAATTTCGTAATAGGATTTCTGTAAATAATATCATATATATTATAGACTGAATGATTAGTCAGTTGATGATAACTATAAAGACAAAAAAAAATAAAATAAAATTTTTTTTTCTCCAATTATTTCAATTAGTGCTTTTATTTTGTATTAATAATCTCTAGTCAAGTGTAATTTAATCTTTCGATTGAAAAGAGCTTCATTTTTCACAAGTTAAAACTGGTAATTATAACAATTATCGACGTTTTCGAGTAAATGTGTTGTTGATCATATTCCAGATGTTATCTTCCATCATCTCTTTCCAGCTAAATAAATCAAAATGACAGGCAATTCTTCATCCGTATATTAATTTAATCTTTGAGACTAGATCTAAACTTTATGACATCAAATTTTGTTTTCTGTCAGACTTAATTGCGGACTAAGCAAACATAAATAGATTGTAAGTATTGATTATTATCATATTCATCATTGATACAGGAATTTTTTAATATTGTATATTCTGATTTAAAACCTAAATAGTACGAGGGAGTTAGTTATAATTTACTATTCTAATCCGTGTCTTACATTGAAGCATCGTATCGTGTAATAACAATCTTATTGACTATTTTTATTCGTACAATTATATATATTTTCTGTTACGTGTAAAACTCAATCTATATTTACCATATTGATATTATATTTAACTTGTATCAAGTTAACTGTATAAACTATATATTGAATTATGAGACTATAAAAACGAAAGTTAACATCATTGTAAATTGATATATATATTTACTTGATTACTATTCTAATGAATTTATATATTCATTTTAATTTATTTTATTATATTTGTTTGTTTTTGAAAAAATAAATTTTAGGATGCTTTAAAACGTAATAAATTAATACAAGAAGATATTCGTGAATTAGAAGATTGGATTATGGAAAAAGAACGTGAAACATTACTTGATGATGGATCAATATTTTATCATGAACAATTGCGTGAACGACTTGAACAGTATCAAGTAAAATCATTGAACTTTTTTTTTTTTCATAAAAATATTTTCAATTCTATACGCGTTTTTTCTTCTTTTTCTTTTGTTCTAATAGAGACTTCAAACGGAACTTAATATTAAAGAACATACTGTACGAACTTTAGTTGATCAAACTCGTCATGATATAAGTCAATCATCAGCTGAATTATCACAACAAATTGAAATGCTTGTTTCAAATTGGACAAATTTACAAAAAAGAGTTGATAGTAAAGTTATATTTTATACAGATCTTTATAAATTATATGAAGAATTAAAAGGTAATTTGTTGTTGTTGTTGTTGTTCTTTTTCAAATTATATATATATTTCTTTTTTTAATATTCATTAGATTTACTTTATCATGAAAATATTTGGCTTGATACATTACAAAATAGAATCTATACAACAGGAAATACTAATGTTGATCTCGAAGATGCATCTGAAGAACTTGATGTAAATTCTTAAAAAAAAAAAAAGCAAATTCTATATTAATAAACTTTTTTTCTTTTATTATTAGAGTCTTGAACGTTTTCTTAAAGCTCATTCAAGATCTAATTATGAAAAAATTTTTGAAGTATCAGATCGTCTTCAAACAATAAAAGTGTCAATACCAACAATAAATAGTCAAATAAATCAATTTCGTATGCGTTGGGATCAATTACATGACGATGTAACATTAAAACATACAAAAAAAAAAGAAAATATTAAAAAATTTTTCTTTTTAAGGTTGCGAAAAAAGTTCATACGTTGAATTCTCAAATATCTGATTTTCAACAATTAAGACATCAAATAACAGCTATGTTTGAATGGATAAATCATACAGATGCACTACTTAGTTCAAGATTAAAAGATGATGTTTATGCTAATGATGTACCGAGTGAAGCTGAAGTAAGAAATAAAAAATAAATAGAAAACTAAATAATTTTTATTTTCTTTTTTTAATTTTTTCAATAGAAATTAACTCTTGAATTTAGTCAATATGAAACATTTTTACGTAGCATTGAAGATAAAATTCATTCATTACGTGTTATAGGAAAACATGATGCTGCTAAACGACTTGAACAACAATTTGTTTCATTAAAAGTAAAAATTTTAAATTTTATAAGGTTTTTTTTTTATCATTCAATTTTTAAGCTTGCTTTATTTTTTACAATATAGAAAATAAGATATTAGAGATTTACATAGTTAAATAGCAATTCATTGTTATTGATAGCTTCTGATGATGAAAAATTCTCAGACGATATCACACTTTTGAATTCATTTATTTATCAATGGATACGTGCTCTTAATGATGAAGGATAATACCCAATTGTCGCATGCCCTTTGACATTATATTATGGCTATGGTTAGGTCTCGATGAAATTAAGACAAGGTTGAAAAGGATTCGAACCCATGGCCTACTGATAAATAGTTATGGCTGTTTAAATGATATTTTTACTGAGAACCAGGGATGGCCGAGAAATCCACAACAAGGAATTTTGATCTGAAGTTTTATCTATAAGCATATTTGATAACCCTGAAAGTTTCAACAAAAATGAGCGTGTCTTTCTTGAGATAGTCGATTTCCAAGTAGGTTCGATTATTATCTCTTCCAATCCTAAATCGCTACTTTTTTGGATATTGAATATCTTGAGAAAGATATGTTCGTTTTCGTTGAAACTTTCAGAGCTATCAAACATACTTATAGACAAAATTTCAATTCGAAACTCTTTATTTTAAATTTTTCGGCAATGCCTTGCTCTTAGCAAAAATATCATTTAAACAGTCATAACTCTTTATCAGTAGGCCATGGATTCGAATCCTTCTCAAATTTGTCTAACTCTCACCATGATCTACTCGTAGCCATAATATGAAGTCGAATAGCGTCCAACAGTTAGGTATGTTTTCTCATCAGATATATGTGTCTGAGATGCGATGCTTAAGAATTCTGAAATGTATTTTTACAAGCGAGGCCTTTATTTAGAGCAATGTTTCAATGCGAAATTCGATATCATCCGTCAAATCTTTATAACAGCACGTATCCATTAGAGATGATTCTTATCTAGATGCTCTTTACTCGTTGGTAAACAAAAGCAAGGAATCATCTAGAAATATTTTCTTTGCATTTTAATTGTAAATATTGATAAGATTCTGTAAAATTAATCTTTCACAGTTGTCTGTTATTTCTATTATATATTATTCAAAATTAATAATACTAAGTGAAATACAAAAAACAAAAGAAACGAATAAATTATTTTTTTCCTTTTCTTTTGAGTTATTTGTGAAATGTCTAGAAGAATATTTGAAACAAAAAACAAACAAATTATAAAACGAAATATAAATATATATTTTTTGTTTTTAAATTCTTTTAAGAATCGATTTATTCAATTAAAAAGTAAATTTCGACAATTTCAAAAACCATCTGATTTTGAACCAAAATATGCTAAAATGCGTCAAATTTTACATGATGTTGAACAAAATATGTATACACTTGAAATACGTTCTGATGATCCAGATGTAATTCATAATCAATTAGAACATTGTTTAGTAAGTTTTAAATTTTACCTTTTCTTTTTTTTATTTTTTTATTTAAATATTCTTATTAAATAATTTAATAGAGACTTTATAAAACTTTATCAGATATTAAATCTGATGTTGAATATGTTATTCGTATTGGACGTAGTATTGTTGAAAAAGGACAAACAGATGAATCAAATGAATTAACAAGACAGATCGATCAATTAAAAACAACTTATAATAATCTTGGAGCTAAAGTATAACAAAAACATTATAAGAAGAAAAAAGATACACATATATTGATCATTTAGGTATCAACATTAAGAAATCAATTAGATAGTGTTGAACGTCATTTACGAAAATTTCGTAAAGAATATTCTCATATTCATGAATGGTTTGTTAAAGCTGATCATGAAATACGTAAAATAGAAAATAAACAAGTATCAAAAAATACAAAAGAAGAAATTGATTGGATACGAGTATGTTTTGTTTTTTTTAAAAAAGAATTTAATATAAGAAAAAACAATTGTTTGTTTTTTTTAGACAACACGAAATGATATTAAAAAACTTGAAGCTAATTTTGAAATATTAAGAAATTTAGAACGTACAATACAAAAAGATATTGAAAGACCATTACCTGGTCTTCATGAAAAAATAAATGAATTAAAACGACAAACTGATCAATTAGATAGACGACTTAAAGATCGTTCAGAAATTGTTGAGGTAATTATTTTAAACAAAAATAAAAACAAAACAAAAAATCATTATTCATTTTGATATCTTATACATTAATAGCTAACCTTACAGTATTAAATAACTCAACATTGATAAAATAACCTACAGTTGTCATCAGTTTTACATATAACACATATTGATGTAATATGAACAAGTGCTATCCATATGTTTTTATTTTCTTGATGACATAGTAATTATACAGTTGACCGATTCCTTGAAATAGATGAACTTATGATTAGAGAACATAATATGAATGGACAGAACCCCAGGAAAACAAAAAAAAAACAAAAAAAGGAAACAGTCGTTTCTTATATTAATCTATATTTATGATCAAGAAGTTTGTATAGAGTAGAAAGGATGCGTCTGATCAATAGTACACAAGATGATTTATTTTGTAAGGATAAGCAGAGATGAGAGAGAGACGTTGATAACATTCGTCGATGTCTCGATTGAGATACATCTATGGATATAATCAAACATAGCGTGAAGTATAGAAAGAGAGTCTGTTTGCATTGACGCGTGTATATGTCATTCATTGACGGACGAAGAGCACAACGAGAACAAGCGAGCGAATAGTAGTGTTATCTGTAAGGAGTCGATGCATTTTCTTTCGACGATTTTCTATGCTGTGGTTTCTCGTTCTTCTTATTTTTTCCTGCTTTATTGTACATGCATTTGCCCGTTCCTTTCTTGTTCTCTCGTATATGCACTTTTTTTTTCCTCATCGATTCATATATATTAGTGCCAATAGAGAAAACAAAAAAACCACATCTATTCTCTTTCTCGCTTCCTAAAAATATTACTGTCTTATTTCTTGGCTGACATCGCTATACATATCGTCGTTCTATATATCATCTATATATTCTATAATATATTATCGTTTAAGAAAAGAAGAGAGACTTGTATTTTGTCTAATATAACTAACAGTAGTGATCCAACCTTGAATTTTCTTAGCTAATTATCCCTGATATTTCCTAAACTCCTACTCACATGCTATGCTTGTCAACAACCTAGCATCTATCCAATGACGAGACTACTCGGGTGGGAAGAAAGCTATACAAGTACCAACACCGTCGTTCTCTTTCTATGTTTATATAGAGTATTCGAGCTTGTTTGCCTCATCATCATCATCAATCACCCCCTACTTGTGTTGCCTATATGTGTGAACGAATCATATAGATATCTTTACTCTTTATGATTTGTTGGCTAAGTTTTTCTTTTCTTTTCTTCTCTTCGACTATCACCACCTATCGATAGCGAAGAAAGATGAGGACAGTAGATAAATAGGTGTTACTAAACCAAATTACTGATTATGCTTTTTGTTATCACCAACATAGAGGTTTTTTTCTCGCTCTCTCTCTCTCTCTCCTTGTTTATAATTGATATCGTTGGTAGATCTATTGTTGTCTTCAGAATAAGAAAACGACGAGGACAGAATGAAGACTGGCGTCATACGTTCGACGTCATCACATTCTGAACCATCACGTCGTTACCATAATTTACTTTATATTCCATTTGAATCGGGATCTGATTCATCATCAGGTATATCGGCATCATCATCAACAACTCTTCCTCCTATTGAATATATTATATATCCTATTGGTTTACGTAAGGTATTACTTTAGTCTAAGTTTATTTTACATTTTGTTATGTTAAACAAAGTAAATTATTAAAATATATAAATATTTTTTTTTTCAATAGGGTCAAGTGCGAAAATTAGAAGATGATTATCAAAGATTTACTTATATATATAAAGAAATCATAACACGTTTGGAAAAATTAGATTCACTTTTATCGGATGCTGAAAGAGTTCTTGATTTAACAAGAATATCAGTAAGTAGAAATAAAAAAAAAGCCCATTGTTTAACTTATAAATAGAAATATGAATTATATTTCTAGCAAGTGCAAGAAGAATTACGTAGTGTACGAATTCAACTTGATGAAATACTTAATCTTGGCCAAGATCTTGTATCAAAAAGTGAAACATATAGCAAACTTGTTGGCCCTGATATTGAAAATATAACACGTAATTTCGAAGAATTACAACGTCGTATTCGTATAATACAGGTTGGTTGTTGTTTAGTAGAAATTAAGTTTTTTTTTTTCGTGCTATAATAGTAACATAGGATATTGGGTTGATTAAAACTAGTTTTAGTAAATACAGCACTTAAAAATAGATGTTGCACATAGATATTTCGCTTCCCTTCATATTCTCCTCCACACACAATAATTCTTGCAGGATAAGCAGGATAAACGTATACAAGACCAACAAACGACAACAACAACAACAACATCAAATATTAATCAAGATGATCAACGCGACGATGTTCGTCGTGAATATTATTCAGAAAAACGTTATAATCGTACTGAACGTGAATCACATCGTCGATCACCATCAGAATCATCAGATATAAGTACAACACAAGGTGTTATTGATGAAGAATTTAAAAAAAAATATTTACGTTGTTTGGCTTATATGAAATTAATTGAACGTTTATATGAAAATCAATATGATACTGATGAAGATACTGACGTTAAACATCGGAGATTATCCAAACGAGTATGCCTTATATTTTTTTATCTATTTATATCTCATCATATTTCGTTTGTGTATGTTATTTATTTTTTTTGCTTCGTCGCATGTAAAATATATTCTATGCATGAATAATAGGCCAAGATTTCTTTTTTTTTCTTGATTGAAGAAATTAAATAGTAAAATTTTTTTTTGTTTTTTTTTTTGTTTTTTAGGAACGAACTGTTCGTGATCGACCAGAATATGAAGAAATTGAAAGAATTATACGTGAAACAGAAGAACGAGCTTATATTGTTGAAAAAACTGATGTTGAACAAGCACGTCGTATAAGAGAAAAAATTCGTCGACTTAAAGTAAAAATAATTTATTATGAATTAAAATCAACAAAAAATAAAATATATATTTTTATTTGTCTTTTTTTTTTTTTTGAAAATTAGGATTGTTTAGAGAATCTTAAAGTTCGTTCTGAACAATATCAAGCAAGTGATGAAGTTGTTCGATATAATGAACGATATGAAGAACATGTTCGTACAACAGCTGGCGCAACAGTAGCAAAAGAACGAGTATGAGAAAAAAGTTTTTTATTTTTATTTTTATATAAATCTTAAAATGGCAATCAGAAAACAAAACGAAAAATCGATTGGTCAATGATGAATAAAAATTTGATTTAAAATTTTTATTTTATTATACATTAAATTCTTATAGAATAACTTACAAAATTTATTTTATTAGTTATGATATTAGTATTTAAAGTATGGATATTTGGTATTCTTTTAGTCTTTTTGTTATATGTCGTTCTCTGTGAACGATTTAGTTTCATGTACAATTGATATTTATTTTCCTTTTTATTGTTAATGGAACATTTCCTGGAATTTGTTTTCGGAAATGTGATTGCATATAGATGTATGTTTTTTTTGTATATATAGCGTTCGGTACGCTTGTAATTAGTCAATTTATATTATGGATGGTACTGGTATTGGATGTTTATGGTTATGTTAACTGAGACCATCGATATATCAAAATATGATTGCCATTTTTTGTTTTGTAGTATGAAAACTTTTCCGTTCTGCTCTAATAGACTATAAATCTCTTGAGAGAACATAATTGTTCATATTCTAAATCAGTAGGGACATTTAATTAGTATTTTTAAACATGCTTGTCATAATTAGATGTTGTTTGTTTTTTTACATATATAAAAATTGAAATCTTTCTTTCTATATATTATTCTAGGAAATGGATTCCGATTTTATTTATGATATTGATGATACACGTTCAGTAATAAGTGAACCAGCACCACAACATAATGCAAAATATCGTAAAACAGTTCATTCACTTGAACGTTATAAAGCTGATGATCACGCACGTTATATTCCATCATATGAAGAATATCAATTACAACCATTATTACGTGTACGTAGTTTAAAAGCAATTGATCATCATACATTAAGTGCACCATCATCACCAATATTACAACCACGTTATCGTTCATATGAACGTTCGAATGTTCATTATACAAAACAAGCAACAAATCAACAAGGTCATCAAGATAATTATCAAAGTTCAATATCAAAATCAGCTAGTATGCCAAATGGTGGTTTTCCAATGCATCAATGTCTCTTGTCTTATCCACCACCAGCACCACCTAGTTTTTGTCATCATCAACCTATGACGTATCGTGAACGTGTTATTGATAGACATGTTGCTGAAAGAAGTACATCACGTGGTGAATCTCGTCGTCAACAACAGCAAGAATCAAGTGGTCATGTGCAACAACAACAACAACAACAACACCAACAACAGCAACAGCAACAACAAGTACGTTCAGCTAGTGCAAGTGGACAGACTCAGACACTTAATCGAACAATACCTGTTCAATATCAAACATCAAATGCAAATACATCTTCTGCTGCATCAGGTGGTTTTCGAACAACAAATGCGTATTCACAAGAACAATATCCAACTTATTTTTATAATGAACAGCAAAGTAGTGGCGGTGGCGGTGGTGGTGGTAGTTATCGTCAACAAATCAATGATCAACAGATATATCCACCACAAAATGTTGGTCGTCATCCAACACGTATTGCCAATTAAGAGCAAACAAAACTCCCATGTTGATATATATAGAAAGAGAGAGTTAGTCCTACCTATATATTCTACTAGTAGAATAACAAAACATTGTTTGCTGTGTGTATACGTGCGCTTTTTTTCTTTCTCAACGTTTTCTTTTCTTTTTTTGTCTTTTGTTTTTGACTTATATCTTTGAAATGTCGGTGCCCATGCGCAGTGTTTTAAGAAAAGAAGTATAGTCTTCTGGAATCTGTCTTCGTTTTTCCTTTTTCTTTTTTTTTTAAAATGTCTATCGTTCTAAATTTCTACTAGTACAATTTGTGTCTTTTTTTTTCTTCTCATTTCTTCAATAAATATATAAGTATTTACTATAAGAAAATGAAATATTCTAGTAGAGTTGTATAAATAAATATCTTATTAATATGAATTCTATTTCGTAACTGTATGATATTGACAACAACAAACACGACGGCAATGCTACCTATGACGTATATGCCATTTGGTTTATTATATAAATATAGTCATATCTTTCCGCCAATGATAGCCATGAGAATACCAAAGGATCGATTGTACAGTGTTGGTCTATTATGTATCTGTATAGAAGAAGAAAAAAGACAAAATAGGGCAAGAAAGAGAGAGAGATAAAGAAGGAAGAAGAAATATCAATGATATGCGATGATGTCCTTGCTTTTTTGCTATAATTGTTACCTCCGACCGAAGAAAGCGGGATAGAGAGAGAGAGAGAACAAGGAAAAATTGATCAAATCGACACACACAAAGAGCCATTTCTACCACTACCAAAACAATTAACCATTTTTTCTTTACGCGTCCTCATGTATATACGATAGGCGACCCTGATGATTTCGACTGAATAACTGCTTTAGCTTGCCTGTTTATTTCGCAGTCATCCTTCATACACTATTGACATAGGCGACAATTAGTCGTTGGTTGATTTGCTTTTCTTTGCCTCTCTCCCATATTCTTTTCTTGTTATCGTTGTCTTGTATTGTTCTTATCAAACATAACAAGCAAATCTATCATCACGTTGTCTATTTCAAGATTTTTCTCTCTCTCTTCTCTAATGTACAAAATCTAGTTACAATATGGCATCGCCTACTGAGAAAGAAGAGAACATACCTGCTGATTTTATTCATTGTGTAGAAAAATTACTATCATCTATATCAACTTTAAGTAAACATCTATCTATATTAACTATTCAAAAAGAAACAACAAAATTAAATGAACAAGAATTAACAAATAAACTTCAAGTAAGAAATATTCGTTATTATAATGAAATTAGGCATATCAATATTGATGATAGAAGTGTAATAACTTTGATTATACTATTAATCAATCGAAATCCTTGATAAAAATCGTACAAAGATCACATTACAAGCTTCTCTAATAGATTGAATCTTAACGTATTACATAAGTATAGTAGCTATTAGATCCACGTATAGAAACTATAGTCTCTTTTCTACAGTCATTTATTCTTCTTTTAAAAAAAAAACAAATTATATCCTTTTTCATTCCAATCAAATATTTCGTCATTTATCTTCAATTTCATAACTTTTACTATTGAATGAACTTAAAAAAACTACTCTTTTATTTAAATAAACCATGACTTTTTAATGTAAATTCTATTCTTTACAGTCAAAAGAAATAATTTCATTTTAAAACTTAATATACTTTACATCATATATTCATATAACTAATCTTACTAAGCAAAAAAAACAACAAAGAACTCTCTCATTTTATTCACATACACATACATGAGTAATGGTTGTATCACGTTAATATGTATATACATTCTTCTATCTTTACTATTCATATTATTTAATCATCTTTGTATGTTCCGTGATAGCTTGTAACTTTTTCTTTCTCCTACACTTGATTACTCGCCAAACATACACATATATTCATATATATATATATATATATAGTAAAAACATAGTAGCTATTGTGTGTTCGATTCATAAAAGGAAAGAGAGGCTTCACACAATCCATTCCTTTTTTTTTCTTGTCAATTCTGAAGAGTTAAGAACGAAAGAGAAGTAGCATAGTAAGAACAAGAAAAATCATTCATTTAGTCGATTGAGCATAGAATATAATATTAGAAAACCTTCAACACTTATAATTGTCATAGAACAACATGCTTGTTAATTAAGTAACATTAACATATTTTTAATAAATATTTTCTAGGCTATCAAAGACGCTATTAATAGTCTTGCACCAGCCGTTCAAACAGCAAAGCAACTTGTATCAAAATCGTCACTTGTTGAACGTTTAATAAACGAATATTCTTGTTTATGTAACGATTATAAAAAACATTATAGTCTTAAAATGGTTGATACAAGTTCCTTTGTTGAATACAATCAATATATTGAACGTTTGTCTTCATGGTTATCATCAACAAATGCTAATATTCATGAAGTTTTACAATCAGTTAATAAACAACGAGCATTACTTATCATCAAAGTATGTTTAAAAAACAAAACAAAACAAAAAAAGAAAAGAAGTAAAACAAAATTTAATGTGAAATCAAACTTTCATATAAAAATAATGAGAAAGGCGTAAACGACTTTTGATTGATCGTTAAATGAAAGTGTATTATGATATACAATGAATGGTTTCAACTTTTTTAATATATATGTATATATAAATATATATATATATATATATATATATCTATTTTTTTTCCTAGAACCTTGATGAATTAAGTAAATACAAATCATTATTAGAACGTGCTACAACATTAAATCGTACGATGGCTGCTGATTTACCGGATGAACAAGCAACTAAGATGACAAATGAAATAGCCAATGTTAAAGAACAATGGAGAATTCTTACTGAAGGATTAAATACACTTAAAGAAAGGTTATTTTCTATTCCCTCCCATTTTACTCATAGGTTACTTATGATTAATAGTAATTTTGATGTGTTATACTTTCAATCTTAAGCATTTATTATTAGTATCATACATGATCTAAATGATTTATATTATATATTTGTTGTAGACACGCATCACGCTATGCATCACCTGAACGAAATAAGGAGGAAGATCGTTTAACCAAGCAAAATGAAAATCTCGTTCATTATATTGAAAGTTGGCTTACATTGGCTAGAGAATTAATCTATCAACAAAAGCAATTGACGATGAACAATCACAATATGATTGATGATAGAAAATACTTTCTCGATTCAATGATTTCATCGGATAATGAAATCAATGAGCATAGTCTTCTATATCAGCTTAAAGTATATTATTGATAACAATCTAATATTTAACACGGGGCAACAAAACGTTGAATATGTTCGTTTTCTTTTTCTTTTTTTTTCCCAAGGAATGTGAACAAGAAGTCAATCGATTAAAAACTTTACTAGATGAAAATCGTCGTACGTTGAAAGGTGATGATATGACAACAAGCGAAGTAACTCGTTCGTTGACTGATGAATTGACAGAGGTGCGTGATACTTTCTTCTTTGTGTTTTCTGTTTCTCTCATCATTATTATTTATTTATAGATTGCTAAATCTGTAACAACAGCACGTATTCAGTTAGAAAATCGTATTGAACAACAACGTGGATTTCTTCTTGAATTAGATTCACTAATTAATTGGTTAAAGAATTTTATAAATGAATCAAAAACAATTGATAATCAAGTAAAAAAAAACAACTTTTTTTTGTTTTGTTTTGTTTTTTATTTATTAAAATCTAAAATATTATTTTTACATAGACAATTGAATTAGCTTTGAATGAACGACAACAACATTTTAATGAATTAATTAAATGTTGTTATATAAATAATCATGAAGTTAAAGATAAAATCGAACATTTAATTCAAATGTGGAATCAATTAACATCAATGAGTATGTTAAATAGAATAAATGAAATTTATTATCAAATCTAATTTCATATTCTTTTTCTTTTTTTTGTTATTTATTCGTTAAATCTAACAACTATCATCACATTATCAATATTGAGTTTCATTTCTTATTCTATTTTAACACATACATGAGTTACATGATCAGAAATAGTCACTATAGTAGTATTGCATGTTAAATTAATCCTTTTTTTTCCTCTATTTCTCTCTACAACGAGAAGTACTAATAATAATCATGACATAAAAAAAAAGAAGAAGAAAAGTTTCTACCCAACATATTTAGACATAAAGACCAGGCACATCCCATCAAGACAACAGAGACAAACATATAATTGGATTTCTTTTTTCGCATTCCCGCCTTGACTTGTTTCGTACCCGATATTTATTTATCTAACACAGGAAGTCAAACACTTGTTATTTCTATGTGAACATTTCTTTTTTGTCAATCGTTCTGGTATATTCTTTAAGTAGATCAGTAAATCTTTGTAATAGACAAATCCTCACATGTGCACATATATTCATATATATGTAGATAGACATATTGATAATGACGTAATAAAACATAATAAGTGAGTCTACCCACAATACTATTAATAAGAACTCATTTTTCGGTTGGTTCATTGTGATTAGTTGCAACTGACATAATAATAAACATGGGTATATGTATCGAACATATCTACTCATCGGTGTGTCACCTGTCGATGAAATTTGTCTTCTCTTATTCTCCATATTTTTGAAGTACAGACATATACAGCCTGAGGTAAATTGATGGTGATGATCATCTTGCTCTCTTTATTTTTGCTTTTCTCTATTGTGTGTCTCGTGAGTGAATACAGGATCTTAAGTTCCTTTTTCTCTGTCTATTTTCTTTTTTACCTTTTGTTACTACTCCTCTCACTCTCTCTCTCGCTCAATCATTGAAGAGCAATAGTTCACCTTCTTACACTCCTACGGCATCATTAGAGAAGTAGAAGAGTAACCGCACTTTCTCATTTTCTTTTCTTTCTTACATTTATTTTCTTTTCTCTTGTTAGTCACTGAGCCTCCAACAGTAGTGGCTGCACAATCATCGACACCACCTCAATTATCGTTACCATTATTAGTATCATCATCATTATCTGAAAAAGAACAACAATTTAAA